ACCAGAAGTTCACTAAAATTAAAGGGAATATCTGTTACAATTAGGAACACTTGTATACAATCCAAGTTTCGCTCACAATCGACTAGCATATCCCTTTAAACAAAAGCAGATTAAATTCTTCATCCTAATCTGTAATCACGTTGGTTAAATCTCTTAAAACACTATTACAAACCTGAAATTTATCATTCAAACAGTGATCTGCAACTACTGACTGTGACCACTGTAAAAAAAAAATCTAGGTAATTACCCATGTGTTAGCACTGCTGCCTCCAGTATAAATTACTTATTCATATAAGACATGTAACTATTACCAGAACAGTAAATTTGACTCTGAAGAATTTCTATATGTCATCTGAAAACAGCTTTCAGCTCAGAAAGCATGATTTTTCAGGGGAAAATTAAGACAAGTTGTTTATGTATTCGTTTTTAATTAAGACAACAAGATGTTGGATTATGCAGCATTAGAATGAGGTTACACTAGGTCAACTGTTCTTGCATTTATTTATAGAGCAACATGTTTTGCTCCATGTATAACAAAACCTTCAAATTTAACATACCCTAAGGTAAAAATGGGTCCAGAAGTCAAAGCTCTCATCCGATAGGTTCAAGTTTGGTGTGTGGAGTACTGCAATGATATCTATAAGAGTTTCAAATACAGCTGATACTCCTATCACTGCTACAATTCACTAGTTTTTAAGCAAATAAATATTATATTCAATACACACAGAACAGGTAGGCAACAAATATCAAGCAACAATACTTCAACTGGCCCAGAAAGAATAGATTTACATCATTTATCTTTTATTAGATGTTATCTACAGCTGATATATTAAGACCATTGTAGTGCTTGAATAAATCCAGTACTTGAAATAATGAACTCTATTTTCCATTGTGTTCTAATGGAAATGTGAACTTGAGGTATCACATTTCCTTTTCCAACTATGTGCTTCAGAACACACTCATGTGAATGGAGTCAATTGCCTTCCTTCTATTCCTTCAGAAGAGGGATTCTTTCATATAAGGGATCTAAATTATTTGTTTCACAGAATCATAAATAGAAGTGACTTATTAGGTCACCTTGCAAACATCCTTGCCAATAAAAAAATGTTCTCTTCTGTGCTAATCCATACCTTTAATTCATTTATTTTTACTTTTAAAGAAAATTCTACTAGAAAAAAAATGCCAATTTCAAAAAACAAAGATACTATCCAGGACCAGTACAGTGTTTGCCTTGAATATAGAAGGAAACAGGCTTTTTTTTTTTTTTTAAAGTATCCAAAAAAAATTCTCTCTTCTCAAGGTTTTTTGAAAAGATTTTTTTTTTTTTAGAAAGTACCTTTTTGAACAGGACAAAAAGATATTTTCTGTTTCCATTGATTTCAACACAATGAAAAAGTATCATTTAAGTGGTCAAACAGGATGCAAAAAAAAGTCATAGTACAAAAAATTGGATTTGGTAAAAAACAAAAAACCCCCCAAAATCCATAACATGAACAGCCAGATTTGGCATTAGTTTCTTTATTTTTAACCCACTAAAAAACCCTGTTTTTTCTAACCCAGTAAAAGGTAGAAAGAACTTTATTTCTACCCTATTTCAAGAGGGGGAGGGCAAAATTAAACTGCTATCTATCACCTGTCTAGTTTGGGAAATGCACAAGTATTTGGAAAAGAATAACAAACAAATAATAAAAACTCACACACATCCACAGGAATGAACTTGTCCAATGCAGATATTTAAAAAACTGGACACTAGCATATCAAGCCAGGAAAGCAACTGTTATGTTAAGATGGAAATATAAAGTTATACTTTTGCTTAATTTAACAGAAAAAATGAAGTCTGAAAACTTCATTTTTTAAAGTCTGCAATACATTAAAATGTATTAATTTAATTGAAAGATGTCAGTATCTGACAAAACAGGCTGTCACTTATGAAAGCTTATACCTTTCTGAATCCGTTAGCCTTTATGTGCTACCCTGTGCTGCCCTGCCTTCTACCTGATGTCAGATTGATATAGCTAATCACCCCTATGGGAAAGAAAAAAATCTGCAAGAGGGAAAAAAACATGGTGCCAAGAAGAGCCATACAGTTTCCTTATCTTTATTACTACACAAAAGCACGTGTTCAAAAGCAACATCAATTTACTAACATTTGGAACAGTCATAGACCTGAGCAGTTAAGACAATATGAATGACAGTAACTGCAGAGCCCTACCAGCACAGTCTGAGCTACTGCAAAGTGGGAAATGGAAAGCACAAAGTCTGTGAGCGATCATGCATGTGGTATATTTATATCTCCCTCCCTGTGTTTCTTTTTGAATGACACAGAAGAAAAGGAAATTTTGAAGTCCAGTAAACTACCAACTCCTTCTAAATTCTATATGTATTAAATATAATCCAGCTACAATGACAGCCTAGTCTGGAAGTTGGAGTATTGTGATATTCAGTAATTTTAGATACTGTCCCCTACAAATAAAAGTTGCCTACTGCAGATTCAGACAACTATTTGATATATTACTAAATAAATACAAAGAGCAAACAAAATACAAACCCACACAAGCAACAGATTTACTACTGGTTTTCAAGAATAGCATGTAAAACAGGTCATAACATTGCGTGGAGTTTATTTTTCCTATTAAAAATGTGGGAGTTTTGCTATGCCTTTAGGACAATATACAAAACAGACACACAAAAAGAGAACTCCAATTGTCTATTGCATATTTCAGATCAATTTCATGTGCCAAGGAAACACCAAAAACAATATTATGTGTTTTACAATCTCCTTATTGGACATTTAAGCTGAAAGTCTCCCTAGCCACAAGCGTTAAAATAGTTTCAATCTGCCTAAAGCTCTCACTTTCATTATTTTAGTTTCACATGCAGAAGATAAGGTCTTTAAACAAAAAACAAACCCAAAAAACTAAAGCAACAGCCAAAGTCATATCCTTTCTTTCTCCCACCCATAAGAAAGTTAATTGTGTGTTCTTTTAATTATATCTCTGGTTTCATATACAGAAGATATTACACTGAAGAATTAATAAAACTCCTTATAACACCACATCCTACATACAGGTTTGTGTGCACTTGCAAACGTGCTCACAGTATAACCCAGCCTTTTCTCTACTTTTTTTCCTAGAAGGCTAACTGGTTTCTGAGAGTCTAGTTCATAACAACAACATGTCTAGAGAATAAATGAAGAGGAAATAATTAGAATTAAAGGTCAATCACCAAGGACAATCCCAACAGCAATTTTTAAATCAATATTCCATAAATTCACTTTCCCATGAGCTCAACAGCTGAAACTTAGTAGTAACCTGTCCTGTGTTTCTGTTTAAAACCATAGGAGTAAAAACAACTTACATCAGCAATACAGTACAACCCCTGCAGTGAAGTTAGTCTAATAAACAACTCACTGACCAGGTCCCTTGAAACAGGAACCAGGTCTTGTGATGCACTGAAATGAAATTGAAACTTTCAGAAGTGGAACAAGCAGGAAGGGCCCCCCGCCCGCCAGCAATCAACTACTTGTCTTCAGTTACCACAGCTTGTGTTCAGCTCTTTAGTCAGCGATCACCTCCACCAAGAAACTACATTCCGGTAGTCTTGGAAGAGGGCCACTTCCCAGAGAGGACTCGGGAGCCAGAAACATGGCAATGACGATAACAACAGTTATGGTGATGATCATAGAAAATGAGGGCAAATGAGGGCTGGAAGGGACCTCGGGAGGGCATCTAGTTCAACCCCCTGCTCAAAGCAGGACCAGCCCCAACTAGATCAGCAGTTCCCAATCTGCGGTACAGGTATCACCGGTGGTACGCAGACAACCTGTCAGTGGTACGTGTTAACAGATTTAGTATAATTACTTTATATGACAAAAATTTGCTGGTGATACTTAAGGTTGTATTGTTTTTAACTGGTGGTGCACAATCTGTCAGAGTTTGGGAACTGCTGGTCTAAATCGGCAGTTCTCAACCTTTTGCACCTTACACCCAGGGCCATCCCTAGGGGGTGTGAATCGGGGTAACCACCCTGGGTCCTGTGCTTTGGGGGGCCCTGCGGAGCCAAGCAGAGCAGCCGCGGCGAATTCACGCTGCTGCCAGCTTCACATCTGGCTGCTCAGCACCCCCCTCTCCTGCTCCACCAAATCTGCCCCAGGGTTCCTTGCATCCAGGGGCGGGGCCCCGCACAGGCTGATTAGCCCTGGGCCCCACACCCTCCTTGAGTCATCTCTGCTTACATCCCACCAACCATTGTGTCAAAAACCCCTGGTCCCACCATGATAAAAACAAAACCCCACTTTTCCCAAGAATTGTATTTTTACGTTCACATGCATTTTAGTATTATATTAATCATTCATGGAAATTTTCAAATGAGTTCAAGTCCCACCTACGCGACTTTCGCGCCCCACTGGTTGAGCCACACTGCTCTAGATCATCCCAGCCAAAGCTCTGCCTAGCTGGGTGTCAAAAATCTCCAAGGATGTTGACTCCATGACCTCTGTGGGTAACCCGAGTTCCTCACCACCCTCCTACAGAGAAAGTTTTTCCCTTATATCCAACTTAAACCTCCCTCACGGCAACTCGATCCCACTACTCCTTATTCTGCCATCTGCCCCCACTGAGACCCCTCCAGCCCCAACAGTGACAAGGGCAATAATGCCACTAGGGTAATAAAAATTAGATGATCACAGCAGCTGCAACGCCAACAGCCACCTGACACGGACACAATAAGCAAGGTCTCAGGTTAGGGCTCCCACACAGCACCACTTGGCCCCTTTCCCCCACTAGCCAAACAGCCCCCCGGGACTCGCAGCTGCCCCTGCCGCCGCCCGGAGGGGTCCCACACCGGAGCCAGGGGGCAAAGACGGAGACCGAGCCCGGACCCCACCAAGCCCCGCCCGGGGCGGGTCAAGCGGAAGGGCCGGGCCTGCCCTGCCCACAGGTCGAGACCCCGTGCCGGGCCGGGAGCAGCGCCCCCCGGTGGTCCGGGAACAGAGCCCTCACCTGCGGGCTCCTGGCGGGGCGGTGGGGCCGGGCATGGCGGAGCCGGGCGGGGCCTGGCGGGCGGCCGCCGTCAGAGGGACGCCATGTCCGAGCCCCGGGCAACAGGAACCGCGTCGCTC